CCCTACATAACTACTCCTACTATTTTTGCCTATCTTCCCCTCACTGCAGAGAACCAAGCTGGGTAGATCTGATTCTCCCCGATTATCAGTGCCCCCTGCCAAGGGTGCCAAACTCCCACACATGTGTTATGTCAGGGCTCCGATAACCAGGCTCGATCATGTCAAATCAGTCACTACTCATAGCCACGGCTTTAGGAAATACAGAAACACGTGCTTAATCCAGTCCTTTTGGCTACCAGCTAAAACATGCAAAACAGATAAAGTGAACATTTTACAGGCAAGTAAACAGGCTGTAGTGACGTATTTCTGTCACAGCTAAGTAGATAATTACAGCTCTTCCCTTACTGACATTACCACAACCAATAATTCAGCTGACTCAGAAACCCTGCAACCATTTTATGGGCCGAAACAAAATTCATCTAAGTTACCCTCTAAAAGAAAGCTGCAAGGTTTGTTTTTTGGTTTTGTTGGTTTTTTTTTTACTCAGAACAATACACTGAAATCAACTCAGTGAGGCAAATGATGCGTCTTTTCAGCAAAATGGTTACTGCCAGCCGGAGGTTCAAGACATTCGTCTCTGTGAAGCCTGTGTTATTAATAGTATCCAAACTGATGTAGGTCAGGAAATGTTTCTCATTAGGTGAAAGGGTTCTTGCCAAGTAGCTCAGGCCTGAAATGCAAGGCTGTCTCATAAACAAATGTACAAAGCCTGGTGGAAACGGAGGCATGAACAAGCTCTGGGGGAAGAGCTCCGTTCCAGTGCGCTTTTTCCAGGCAAGGCAGCACAGGCCGGCGCTGAGCGAGGCTGACCTGCAGCCGGGCCGCACCAATTCTGTTCTCGGGGGACAAGAGAAAAACGACACACATTAGCACACCGCTACCGATGCTTTTTGGAATTGCACATTATTATCAGCCAGCAACATCCTTCATGGACTCCATGTGTGTTTATCACTGACGGAGCCACAATTTTTTTACTCTTGAATATTGGTGGAGTGCAGAATACTTACGAAGGGGTCACCCATTGGGTCATGGTGTGAAAGCCACTAAATTAGCATGTAATAGGAAAACAAAGCCATTTCAAAACACGGTACTACTCTGATTCGGTTAGTAGCAGTGGGGGTACAAAAAAAAATCCTGTCTCCAGCCAAACTCCAACAAGCCATCTCTGGGCAAGAGGACACCACTATGCAGTCAGGAAGTTGAAAAATGAAAAGAATGGAAATTTGTACCATTTAAGCATTCTCCTGAGAAGCAAAAAGAAATCGAACCTGCTGACCACATTTGGGAGGATGTGTACGAATGAGGTAAGCAACTTCTGAATCTTTCATGACACCATTTATTGGGGGAAAGAAAAGTTCTCTCATACCATAAAATGCCACAATATTCTAAAGTGTGTTGGATGTGGAGGAGATGCATCATGAAGGCAACCAGTCATGCCTGTCCACTGTGCTCAACAGGAGAAAGCAGAACCCTTTCACCACCTGGGCTTCCCCACTGACCCATCAAAAGAACAGACCGGGGGATTTGATTTTTAATGAAGTTAATGCTGGATAATTTCATTTTTATGTGCATTTCTGTGTTATGTCATTTAAAACTTACCAAACCCTGCACTTCGGTTTGCTAAGCTAGAGTAGGCATTCCCACTCGGAGAAGAGGTGGCTGGGCTGGAAAGGGGGCTGTATGACGATGGATCAGCTGGGTAGGTGTGACTTGTTCCAATCCCAAAGGGAGATGACTGAGCCTTGCCAGACTGAGACGGAATTTGCTGAGGAAGAAGGGGTAAAGAAGGAATGAGTTTTACTGTTGAGGAACAGCACGGCAGACTTGCTTTTTAACAATGTAAAGACTAAATAAACTCTGCAGATGCGAACAGGCACGTTATTCCTGTCTCAGCCATACTTAATTTCTGTCAAAGCCAACCTACTGCTGCATAAGGAACACAACAAACTGTAACCCAGCATTTATAGCTCTCTTGCTGATTAACTTGCACGCACTCAATATCAGAGCTGTTTAGAAAAAATATTGTTTCCTTCACCTCCATTACAAGGATTAATCTCAAACTGAACAGGTATAAAGAATCCAACTTTATTTGCCAGGTGTTTTGATTTTGCAGTGCCACAGTAAAATCACGGTTATCCAAATGTCTTATAGCATATATGCAGTTCTCAGAGGACCAGAGTTTCCAGTGCTTGGGGGAAAATGGCCGAAGAAGTTTCAAAGCTAATGAGCTGCTTTCTCTCCCTGCCTAAGAAGTACAGGCGGCAAAGTTATTTTGCTTTGTAAAAGCCTTGGGAGGGAGGGTGAATCACCAGCCCTGGGAGGGGCAAAGAAATAGTCTAACTTTGCTTTAACTGGGCAGGTGAGTTAATTCAAGGGTATTAAAAACCAAATTGCTGTCACTTTCACCTACATAATGGCTTCGTCATAGGATCTCCAAGAATGTGACACAAATGATGAAACGCTGCAGACTGCTTTGAGACATCTACGACACGTACACTGAGACTCAGGGAGGTGAAGTGCCTCACCCAACGTCCTGGGCTACAGCAACACACCACGCTACAGACAGAATCTGCTTATAAACCATTTCCCGCATCATGAACAAATCCAGCACTCCCAAGAAAGACTCACTGCCTAACCAGTTCCACAAATAGAAATTACAGGTGATTACACCTCTGGATACTTTCAATGATGTGCACTGTTATTGGCAATCAATGCACTCAAGTGAAGCTATTCTCTTGGAGAAATGGAGGGGAGCCAGGGGAGGAAAACAGATCCCAACAGGCACATAACACGATGAAGATGCTATTAAATCTTCAGCTCCGTTCCAAGCTAAGAAACTGTACGTTTCTAAAGGCTTCCGTGACAACAGCGAGAGCATGTTGTGTCACTGCTGCAAGGCTTAACTCTTACTTTATTTATCATGGACGAATGAATTTCAGTTTCCCTGCACTCACATACAAACTCTGTTGACTTGGACAGAACTGGACAGTAAGAGGGATGAGGAAGTTTTTTAGCCAATCTCAGCATACTCCATATCGTTCAAAAAAAGGAAAGTCAGCGTTACAACTGGATTTCATTAAACAGGTGCGACAGAATAACCACGGTGGGGGAGAATCAGTGAGTAATGTGGAAATAAGTCAGTTACTGAAAAATTATTTAGTGTCCTCCCCAACATGCCATTCTAGTCTGCTGAACAACGGAAAGTCAAGAGAGATTAAGAGGAGCATTAATGATAGATCAAACATGATTATTTCATATTCTTTGTCTTTAAAAGGGTTTCAAACCAGGTTTTTTTTCTTGTTACACAGAACAAGAGGTCATTTCTGGGCTACCACTGTCAAGCGCAGGGCATCTCATGGAGGGATGTGCTGTTTCCTCCAGCACAGGAGAAAGCACGAGCTACACTGGGCAGTGATAACGGAGGGGCAACGGGCTAAGTAGCCTCTGCTCTGATTTCATGCCTGGATTTGTACGTGCCCTTTTCTGGTAACTGCTAACTGTGGGTAACATTGCCGGGTGCAAGGTCTCGGTCGAAGGAAGATTCAATGTGCAGGCTTAGCACTAAAGCACAACAGCTGTCCTCTTTTATTTTGTTCTGTGCACACGTAAAAGTGAGTGCAGGACTGAGACCTTCCACTGGGATTTATGTCAGTGCCATGAACAGAGGCATGTCACTGTTATGAACATGATTACAAACTCAATGCGGTGACGCATGGGGCAGCTGCCTCCAATTGTTATAACCTGCCACGGAACCCAAGTGGGGGAACCGATTTCTGCCCAGCCGCAAGTGATAGTGACAAAGTACATTTAATCACGTTATCAGTGGGGTTTACTAATTCTTTTGTAAAAAACCCACAGAGATTGCAAATCTTTAACGACCATGAAAATAAAACACCTTTAATCAATACCTGTCCTGGAAATGGTGGGCGATTTCCTGTCCAGGCAACCTGACTCTGATTTAGCTGGCGAGATATCTGTGTCAGATTCTGGCCTGTTGATGAAGAAGACTGGATGTCGTTCACACCAGGCACATGTACCACAGATGAACTAAAGGAACAGAAATAGTGCCTCGTTTGTAGTATATATTCTTGGTGCACAAATAGTATTCCAGAGATGGAAATGTTGATAGTCACATTAAAACTAATTGTTCAATCTGTTTTAAGGAAAAATGACTTAAAACCATCACAACACTCTCAAACATGTTGACATTCTAAAATGTCAGTCCAAATAGACACAGAGGGCAAAATCATTTTGAATTAAGACTTCTATAAACTCTTTGAAAGGGCTTGCAAGAAAAAAATCAGTCTAACACATAGTGCATAAACACATAGCTCCATACTAGTTTAGTATTTAATGCATTAAAAAAACCTGCTTGCAGAGAGTATTCAAGCAGGTACTTAATTTTAAATTTGTGCTTCAAGTCAACAGTATGTAAGCATTTGCTTAAATGCCACCCTAAACAAAGATGCATAAAAAGATGATACTTGTAAGTACTTCTTTATTTGTTTCCTGTCTGGGAAATGAGGAAGTGTGTGTTATAAATTAAAAACTGGAGCATTTAATTCCTATTTTAACCAACTGATGCTGCAAAAGAATAATCAAGACAAAAACTGAAACTAATGTAATAGCTTTGGAATTAAAAAAAAAAAAAGTATTTCCAAAGGAATTTGTTTATATGTTAGCTGTTTCCTAATCACTGAATTTCATTACAGAGAAATTTCCCAGAAATTCCTAACTAGAAGGACTCCTCCACTTTACCATTTTATTCTCATGGAAGTCTCGAACAACTGAATCTATATAACCACACCTTGTGAATTTGCTTTTATATATAAAATATATATATTTATTATTTTACATGTCATATATAAATGAATATAAATGAAGACACAACACATAAAAAATGCTTTTGTGCATCAACTGCGACAGCTTGCTCTTTTCTCCAGTCCCTTCCCTATTGTCTATTTGCACAATCATTTTACAGAGAAAGAAGAGAGCAGATTGGGAAAAGAAGTAAACAAGGCTGAGCAGAGAGGATGCAGGACTCTGAATTCACTGAGAAGACTGACAAAATCCCTCCCAGAGCGGTAAGCAAAACGTGGCAGGCATCTGAATATGGGAGTTGTTATGCTGTCTTTCTTAAGCTGTCTAAAAGCAAAGTGTGTGTTTAGAAATTCTTTGCAGAGTTTGTTTTCTATTTTTTAAATTTTATTTTTATTTTTTTTATTACCACAGAGTCTCCAGAGATGGAAATGTGGACCAGGGAGTCCATCTAAAGCTGGCTCAACTTGGAAGCACAAAACAGCTGCTGGGGAGGGCTGACCTACTGCCGACACCTTCTCAGCTGGACTGGCAAGCCCCATCGTCTAAGGGGCCTGGACTGCATCTGGAACATATGCTCTGAAACCAGGACTCTGCAAAATAGCGCCCAGGCTCAGTAACCGAACGGACCAGCCTGCGGAGCGTTCAGGGAGGACAGTTCATCGAGGGTGGAAACGCTGGCAGATGTGTCCTTACTTGATGTAATAGAACAGCAGTAGGAAAAAAGCTGAACATCAGGAATTAACAAAGGAAATGAACAAAAAAGGCCAAACCCCAAGATGGCAAGTCAACCATCCAGTATATAATATCCAATTAAAAGTCATTTTAATTTACTGTCATATCCCCCCCCAAGTTATTCTTGGTTTTAATTTGACAAAACACACACATGGGGATTTTATTTCTCCCCACTGAGATTATTAGCAATTATAACTTTAAGAACACATTAGTTTAAATAAAGTTATCGTTTACAGATGTTTTCTAATTCCTGGAACCAACAGCCTCTGAATGGCTGTTCCTTCATTTTCACAACCTTAATTGGTCTAAAATAGGAGAATGAAACTCCAGTATGACAGTCCCAGAATGGTGATACAAAAAGCACTAAGGTAAGTATCATCACTGTTACCACACTCTCAAAAAGTGACTGGAAACAAAGGCAAACTCTTAAATTTCAGATTAGCCAATCTGTATTTCCAGCTGGCAGGCAACAATACGCACTTGGAATAACTCAAAAATGCCTCAGAAAATGCCAGACCACCACCTTACGTATTTGGAAGCTGCCTTAGAAAACTATTCATGCCCCTGTCCCAGCCCTCACCAGGGACTACGGATGAGGCATCCCTCTGTTCCCTTTTATAAGGTCCACACCGATGCCCTTCAAGGCAGCCGGCAGAAGTACTGACAACTGTAAGTGCAAAACAAATCTTTGCACCTTTCTAGCTTGGTTGAATGTTCCTCAGATCTTTAAGCCTGCCCCATCACCTCTCAGATCTATTTCCCTTCGTGATTTGTCGCTGCTTCTTAGCTTTTTTTTTCCAGTTACGTCATCACAGCAACAAGTAACTACTTACCAGCCACTATTTTTAGCAGAGATATCCAAATCATCTCAGCTTGTAAGCCTTGCCTAAGTGCTGAGACATCACGTAGGAGTGAAGTGTACACAAAGCAAAGTTCACTCATGTAAAGAAAGCCCTTGCATCTTAGGTTGGTTTTGTTTCCACTAGATCAAAGGGGAACAGTCCTCCACTATCAGACAGAAGGTGATACGTTCAGAATCGGGACTACAGTACCTGAAAGCCTTTCCTGAATGTCCTGGCTGAAATGGGCTTCCCTGTGAGTAAAGCTGCTGACTTCCTGCTGTGGACGCTGAGGCCATCATCTTTTTATCTGCTACAAAAGAAAACCAAATCACAGAAAGAGAAAAGTTTAGGGGATGAGAAAATGAAAGCAAAATTACTTAATAAGTGCAATGCATATACGCAGCAGGGATTTTTCTTTCCTTTTTAAAGCTTTATGAAGAAGCCCTGTGGAACACATTAAGAACGACACAAAAGGGCTATATGATAATTCAGTATGAAACTAGAGGCACAGCTGGTTTGTGTCTACTTCATACCCTCTTCCCAGGATGTACCTCATTAATGGTATTGTTTGCATGGAACATAACACTGGTACGCGCCCACTGGCCATGCAGCCCAGACCTGCTCCGGGCCTGCTGGAAGCTCCTGTCGACCACGCAGGCAGGAGTGGGAAGGAGAGACTGGGAGCGGCTCTGGCCAAGGCAGCGAGTGAGGAGTACAGAGTCCCAGCTACAGACTGGAAAGGGGAAACAAAGGTTTTCTGGAAGAAAGATGGAAGAGTCTGCCCGGCGAATGGAGGAATGTCACAGGAAACAAGCCTGGTCTGAAGAAGGTCTGACGCACGTACAGCCCTGCAGCCTACCTGGGGATAGCCTCAGGCAAGGGAATGTTTCTGGCTCCAGAAGCAGCCCTCCAGGGCTGCTGCTGTTACTGCAGCCTCTTTGCACTGAGGCAGCAGCTGAGGTTCCACACTCCGCTGGGTTAAACGTCCCAAGGAACAGTGTCAAAGAGCCCCTGTCCTAAGCAGCTGCCAGCCTGCTTCCCTCCAGGACAGCCGGAGAGGGGTACCGGACCCTCCCAGGCAGCCTGGTGGCACGCCTGCACATCTCGGGGTGAGCACCTGCAAAGCTGGGCGATCCTACAGACCCTACCTGCATCACAATCTCACAGGCAGCTGGAGGCACTTTGCTTCCGAGTGTCTGCAAGACTTGTGCACCTGAGCTGTGGCAAGGCAAAGCACTGGTCTCTTACGGATTTTGCTGTCCTATATGTGGCTTGAGGGAGCCATGAAACAGGATGCAAGCATCCCAGTGGGTGGTGAATAACACACACACGGAGTTGCCATTAACTTTTATAGTCTACTCTTAACATGGCAACTGGAGATCAACCTCTAATTGAATGAAACAACATTGGGTGAACAGTGCCATTTGGTCCTTTAATTTAATTTTCTGGCAGAGGATTATTCCAAAGCCCAGGGAAGCCTCACTACTGCTACTTTTCTTAAAACAGTTTAAAGGTCTGCTCCACCACCATTTATTCACTTTCCCCATCTTCCTTTACTATTGCCAAGTGCAAAACACTGCACAACTCGCTGATGGCTTTGCAATCATCTGTTGCTGTGCACCTCCGGCAGGCCTAGAAATCGAGTCTGCCTCCTCATTTTCCCTTTCGCTCTTTTCAGATTCCCACTCATTTCACAAGATGCCCTCCGGGACAAAAGGCCCACTCAACTCACAAGTAATAAAGTATTTTTTAGTTTCCCCTAGCTTCTAGAGACCGTGTGACTGTGGCTCACCAAAGGCCTCCAACACACACCTGCTCTTCTCTGTTACCTAAGTTCCTTTTATGTTATGTTCCTAACGAGAATCTAAGCTCACCTTCCCAAAGAAAAAAAGTCACCTCAAATTACCGCCCAGGAGCCTCGGAGAAGGAGCACGTATGCCACTGATGCAAGCTGTCATTGCTTTTCCTCTGTAATGTAGAAATTTGTAGAAATTCCTCACTGGCTACGTACTTCCCAGCACAGACACTGAGTCTGGGCTGCAAACCTGAGCTCCCATATAGAAAACCAAGGAGAAATGGGGACAAGGTCTAGAGAAGGTTGCGTATGTAGTAGGAAGAATTGAGAATGGGTTGGGATATCTTTGAGAAGAATGACAGATGATTTTGCCTTTTTTTGCAGTAAAGTCATTCTTGCATGAGATGTCCCATTTTCTAAGGCTACCCTTTACAGGGATATCAAACTCTCAGGGTTCGAAGAGACTGAGCCAAAATCCTGTGGGTACTTTAGATATTTGAGAACAACTCACCAGCAAAATTGAGAGTACCCTAAATGAACTGGAATTCCTCAAGCGGAGCAGAGTTGCCATGGCAGCTACCAGGCTCTGTGTCGCAGGATGAGGCCAAGACAAAGGGAACAGCTAAACTAATCACTAACAGCTAAATTGGCTTTAAAGTCTCTTTCCTGAGTTACATTGAATGTTCTTTAGCCTCAATCTGGCCCACATCTCTCCAGCTGTATTCCCACTTAGCACTTTACACGTTAGTTCTCTGCTCTCACCTTTGGTACAGCACTGAAAACCTATTTTGTTTTGGTGTTTTACCTGCATCTTTAGACCTGTTTCTCTCTAAACCCCATCACTGTACTGGTCAATGATATGCCCTTCTCCCAGCAGGACCAGTGTTTCTGCCCGTAGAACAAAGATCTCTGTTAAAAACCGCATCATCCCCTGCTTCAAGGCACTTGCATGAATTGGTGAAGCCAGGCTTTCTCTCCCCACTTCTGTTTTTTAATTATGTGTGGCCACTGCATGCAATTATGGCAACAATCTCCCTATGTCAAACCTGTATTTTTACAGAACGCAGCAGAGAATGAGATTTGGTATCAACATAATATAAATGTCTTGTAGGCAACACGCAGGTTTGTCAATATTGGTTTTGGACAGCATATCTCATCTCTAACTGTGAACCATCTCTTTTTAACATTCAGAGAAGACCTTGATCACAGCTCCCATGAGAAATTCAGACAGGGTGAATGTCCCAAAAAAAGCATAGCCTGTAAATTGGTAAGAATGAAAAGAGAAATGGCATTTCCAAGAACACAACCTCCCAGCTACCTCACAGCTTGCTAGACCCTTAACCCTAACCCCTCCTCACAAACAGCTCAGAGCTGCCTGAAAAAGAGCCAATAAGGCAGCCAAAAAGCAAGATGTTCTTGCTTGGAAAAACATATTCTGGTGTTTAGGGTTGGAGTCTTGCTACCTTCTAATGGACCCCTTTTATAGCCTCAGCTGTTAGAGTAGACAGACAAAGATGAACAGGAACAACAGAGAAGTCCTAGCAACAGGAGGACAGAATATCAAGTCTATCCTGCAGTTACAATACCTTCTCCATTTGAGAGGGCCAAGCCAGACATAAGAAACCAATGCAGTGAGGTCATCTCCCAACACCCCTGGAGTTAAACCCTGCGGGTCATTTCCTTCAGGCACTGCGTGACACTTGCACGTTGATTTATTTAAAACAAATGTAAAAACTTCTCTTTTCAGTGAGGACAGTTAAGAACAATAAACAATTATGAGTTCTTCCACGAGCAGTAGAATTAATGAGCCTGGTTTCCTACAGATATATTTCGGATGACCCCTTCAGCTGCCAGTCTTCTCAATGACTTCTGTCTGTTAGGGCAACAGCCAGCATAGGCTGGGGCTAGTTTGAGTCAGCTGCGTCTGTCCAACTGACAAGCTGGCTGCTACCTCTTAGAACACACCCTCCTTCGGTGAGGGCACTCAGTAAGAACTCTGTCCTCACAGCAATTTTCATGAAATATAGAACATATTATTTCTGAGACTCCTATCGCTCTTATAAGAGCTTGCCAACAAGTTCAAGAGGTTTTTTTTGGAAAAAAAAGCAAGGACTCACTGACAGGTAACATGACTGGAGTTGCCTCAACTGACCAGTTGAAGCGTAACCAACTTGTTACCCTTCAAGGCAGCATATGCCTCTGAAAGCATCAATGCAGAAGCTGGTGATTTGGTAAAAAAACTGCAGGCCTATCTTAAGACTACATGGTAACTTAATCCACGTCTAGAGAGATGAACTCATATCTGCTGTTTAAGAAAGAAAATATATACTTAGAAATGGCAAGTTCTGCTCAGTATGTTTAGTATCTATGAACACTGCTTAAGGTGCCCCTGTGAAATGAAAATAGAATCAAAAATAGGTAGCTCTGGTGATGCAAAAGCTGTCCTTCCCTCCTTGAATTTATTCCTCGTCATCTTTAGGGGAAATATCAACCAAAGGCAAATTCTAGGAAAGGTTCTGAAGGCTGATGTTGCTTGGAAATTTCTCTGTCATGTTCTAGTTTCTCTTCAGCCTCTTGAAGCTGTGCTCCACATCATGTAACAAGCTTAATACAGTATTAAAAATCAAACATCAGAGACATTAACTTACAAGCAGTTATTCCAGCAAACATCTCAGCAAATCTAGGATCTCTCTCTTGGGAGAAGATAGCATCAGGCTTTTCCACAGACTTTCCACCCTCATGAACATTAGCTGGTATACTTGGAACAGGCACCTGTTGAGATACACAGAGGAAGGTAATTCCCTCCATCATATCTGACAAAAAAGAATGCAGGGACAGTCACAATGTATCTTTAATTTTGCTGAAATTTGCCATTGCTTTACGTTTTAGAAGATCACAGGCACAAAAATAAAAACTTGAGAAACTTCACCTGAGATAAGTCATAGGATGACAGCCCATCTCTTTGATGTACTTCAAGTTCTGCTTGCTGCTGCTGAAGTTGTCTGCAAGGGAGACAAAATAACTTCATTACAAAAACCAATTAAGACAGAAAAAGGAACAGCTATGGTCTCCTATTTTATATTCAGAGTGAAACATCTCTCAGATGATTTAGTAAATCTTTTCCCGTGAGATTCATGTGTTTTGAAGGCTTTCTCATTGAGAAAGCTTGCACCACAGGAATGTAACAGGGCACATGAAGAGTTTTGCTGTAATAGCACAGAAATATAGGTGGGCAAGTAATGGAGGATGGAATACAACCTCCTTACAAAGGATTTAAGAATTCACTACTAAGACACCAAGAATGTCTTCCTCATGTTAACAATGAATATACCAGACGCCTTCACTGATCCTATTGAAGTAAACAGGAAACCTCCAGTAACATTAACGCAGAACTGTGCCAGTCAATAAGAAAAAGTGATCAAAGCTCTCTCTGAAGCATGCAGACCAAATGGAACAACCTGTCGAGCTAGAAAGAACTGCATATAAATCCTTCTTTGTAATAAAACCTATTTAACATGCTTTGGTGCTACTCTTCTTAGGATACAAGTCCAGATTCTATTCAATTTTTGAAAGCTTTTGAGGCAGTGAATGTCCAGAAATAAATTGCCTGTGCTACTATATAAAACCAAGACATTACATAAAATCAATTTGTGTTGACAAATGCTACGCAAAACACAACTATCCTTTTCATGCTAATCAGAACTGAACGAAATATATCTGTTATTTAAATAAGATAAAAATCACTGGAAGTAATAGCCTTAATCCAATTATATGAATTTAGGAAAAATTACATGTGCAGCAGCAATAGAAAAATACTTCAAAAGAAACTGCCAGAGCTTATAAATGTTAGGGGCCATATGCCAGAATGAAGAACTTTAGTGCTGAAAACTCTGCAGGTCCTTGAAATGCACTTGATTTGTGTTTAGTGTCAGGCACTGTGACTTAACTACAACAATTACCCAAAATCAACAGATAAAATCATTGGAAGTCATGAGAATTAACTGACAGGTGACCTGTAGGGACAGCATGCAAGTGGTGGTAAGTCAGGCACATGCACATTCTACATGTGCACATATTGCCTATCTATAAAAACGTACAGATCTTTTACATAGTTGTAGTATATCTAGCCCAGTGACCTTCTGAATCCATTTCTTCACTGTTTTTTTTTAATTCTGAAAGGACACAAATTCAAAGCTCCTAATTAAAAAAAAAAAAAAAATCAGGGACAGTTATATTAGTTGTCGTTATTGGAAATTTTGCAGTTACTGTAACAAAACAACTTCTACACAAACGCCACTGTGCAGTATGGTTTATCAGAAACAAAACCCAATCCCTTTGAAATGAATGGCAATAGCGCTACTGATGCTTTAAGACCAGAACTTTACCATTACAATGTGAACTTACGCTTTCTTGTTTGGACTTACACCATCCCCACGTTGGGTCATTAGGAACCTCACTTGTCTGAGCCTAGGTTTGCAGGATTGTTTGCAGACAGACAAACCCAGCTTTGTCCCAACACCGAGCTGGGACGGCAGAGCACGAGAGCCACGTGATCTTGCCAGCCCAGCGGTGGGTTTGAGCCTGATCAAGCAACAGCCCTGAAGCAGCACGGCCACAGCATCGCCCCCACAACTTTGTGCTGAAAGCAGCTTGCAGCCAGCACGCCAGCTGACACACAGGCACCATGACTGGGGATTTCCCTGTCGCAAGGAAAGGCTCTGCCGTGGCCCTCGTCTGAAGAAGTAGCACTGCCACGGAGAAGGCAGAGCGCCTTGCTCTGGCACGGGCCAATACCGCAAAGGGCACTGAACCAGTCTCTAGGGTGAAGCTGGGAGCTTGCTGGCATTGCAGCACCTCAAAGAAGACTGCCTGTGTAATGACAAAAACCCTCAGCAGCTGCAAAACTGTCTAAATGTTTTGCACCTTCCATTAAGTCGCTTTCTTGTTGCTTGGTCACAGTTCACAAGATTACTTCTGGCCTGAGGCTGCACAGGTAGCATACTATCTCCGAGAGGCTCTTTGCTTAGTTGGCAAAGAAGATATAAACACCCCCAAATTACGCTAAAGCTCAGAGATTAGGATAAGATTGGAGTTGGACTGACAAGAATTCACAAGGCTTGATACTTGACAGCGGTCACAGTTTCTGTATGCTTCTGGCCTCCTTCTGAAGGAAAGATCGCCTAACGGGCAGGAATTACACACCCAGAGAGACACTATAACGTAACAGGAGGTAATAGATGAGATTTTGCAAAATAGCAAGATTATGGATTTAACACTGGAAAATCACAATACATTTTGGGCCACAGGCTTGAATTCTAGATTTTTATCTAAATTTTCTTTTAAATTTTGAACTAGAGTGATTCAAATGTCAAGGGACTGAGACACAAACTTGCAGACAAACTGATAGGAATGTGAGGGGCCACTCAAACAAGGTACTGAAGTAAGTAACAGATTTTTCCATCCCTTGATGCTTTTCCAGAAGACACCTTGCTCAGACACCAGTTACTAGACTCCATGGCAAACTAGACAAAAATCTGTGACCTGCAACAAGCAGAAGATCGGAGTAGATGGCCAAAAGCCCTCTCCTAGCCTTAGGGTGTAAGAACACATAATACACAGAATCACTTTTGTGCTACGAGTAACATGCAAAAAAAAAGTCAGTTTCCAGGTCACTAGAGAGCCATGGATTTTCCACATTATTTTAGCCAACAGAAAATTCCTAAAAATTACATCTGGAATGCAAAGAAATTCTTTGTTCACAAGCATAAAATGCATACTTTTCCAGCAGAACTATAGGAGGTAATTTAATCGTGGCAAATCTATGGGGAAGTTTTTCTAAATACCACCCTGTGGACAATAAACACCCATTAAATCCCGTTGTTAACGTGAAAGCTAATTACACTGTTTCATTTGTTTTTACTACCAACAACTTGGTGCGTGTGTCAATAAACAGCACATTAGGTTTCTTCTGTTCCGTATAAAGTATGTTTTCTTGATTCAGCCATATACATACAAATGAGCCAAACAAAACAGCATACTTACTAGTTATTTGTTTTGTAGGCACTTCTAACTTAGTGCTCCTTCACCCTTCTCTATCTTTCATCTCTAATACTCGTTAAGCTGCAGTACAATATAAATACCACGTTGTGTTAATGGCACTGAACTTTGGGAACAACCTCCCAAATCCGTTTCCTATAAAAACCAAATACTTAAGCGTATCTTCACGGAACTCTGTGCAAGCTATGCTGCACTTAATTGAGATTGAAATGTAAAGCCACGTTAGCATCCTCTGCTGTTGTTTGATGCTACTGTATAAATAGTTCAAATAATGCTTGAAACCTGAAAGAAACTGTGCAACAATTCATGGACCAGATGACCAGGGAGAGCTGAGCGCTGCTGTCATGGTTGCTTCAGACCTTGCCATCTAACCAGCCCTTTTCACTGAACAGTCAAAGCACGTGACACCTGCAGGTCCCTTCAGTCACCCAGGTGCTAGATCATTTTCGTAAAAATGATACAGAACAAGAGCTTATTACCAGTTTGGGCAAAACTCAAACTGCCTTCTGACTTTGAAACCAAAACCCAACCTCTCCTTGGTTTCAACTTCAAGGAGTAAATGAAAGAGGAATTTCCTGGCTCTACAGGATACTCAACATAGCAAGTAAGGTATTGTCTAGGACAACAGAGAGGACCGCCTGTACTGCAGGAACTCCTGGCTCACCCACAGTTTCAGTATGGAACTGGGAAAGCCCTTGGCTTGAACAAGGAATGGTTCAGTGAATCTGAAGGTTTTGATAGTTCATTCAAATGTACCTCATTCAGTGTATTTGGAGAAAAAGGGAAGATATCGTGAAAGTTCCTTTGATATTGGAGAGGATTTGAACTGATTTAATCTCTCTCTACGAACACTGAAGTCACCCGTTCCTTTTTCAGGCATCAGAGCAACCAAAAAAGGATTTGAACTTTAAAATTAAGAGTCTCTATGGTGGGAGAGAAACAATACTACTGTAGCCCTACCAAGTTATTTTTATGTAATACAGGCACACATGCTTCCTGTGTCTGGTTTGGACAAAAAGGGAGTAATAAAAGCCTTGGGGCTGCTGTTGTAAAATCCTCTTTCAGAAACCCTCTATCTCTTTCAGCCTATGGTTTCAAAGTCACCCCTGTGAAAGGGTCTGTCTTACACCGGCCTGGAGGGATCACACAGCCCACAGATGGCACAGGGACCATGAGAATGCAAGTCTTTAGCACCACTAGCATAGACTGGAATTTTATCAGAATAGTTGATCTCTTTAGTATTTTGGCCTATGAGAATCTGAAACAGAAAGCATCTCTCCCACAAGTGCTGGCTGATTCAGTCGACAGGCTGCCTCCAGCAGTGTCCTGTGCCAGCTCACTCCCAGACAAGAATCTTGAGACTCAGGACAACCGTAGATTCACGAATGCACGTGGTGCAACATAGGGCTTTGGGGCTTACAAAAATGAAACATCAGAATTTCCACAAAGGTCAGAAAAATATCTTTCTTCTATGTATACAGAGACTTTTATATAGTTTTATCTATCACCATGACAGATTATTCTATTGAAACGCTGCTCTATTTGTATGTCAAATAAACATTGATCACAATAATTATTTCTTCTTGGAAATCAAACAGTCCCAGCTATACAGGAAGATGTGGTCAAATGGGGCAACTCTCTTTTTTTCAGCCGAACCCAGCACAAATGCTAAATGTTAAATGCTTCATTTCTCCAGGAAGTTTCTCTTGGATGACTACACCCAAGTGAAACTGAGAGAAGTTTTCTTTTCTTTTTTTTTTTGCAAGGAACTAAATGAACATTTGAACCTAATGTTTCGTTATCCTTCCGCACCAAAAGCAAGTTTAGAAAGTTGACTGTTTGAAGCTCCAAAGGAGTATGTTAAAAAAAACCCCACAAACAAAACAAAACAAACAAATCAAACCACCACCAACTAAAAAAAAGTAATTAATCCCTTCACAAGTGGAACCACCACTGCCCTCTACAGTCTTTTTGGAAAACGCTGTTCACTGACCAGCGCAAAAGGAGAGCTATTCTGTTAACAGACACGCAGAGAGACAGATGTACGTACTGTGGCTTTAAACCCTCCTAAGTTAAAAATTTATTTTAACCTAGAACTTTTGGCTACATTGTCTTCACAATTTCACGATGAAGTTTCAACTGCCTCAAAGCTGTATTTTATGGAGCTGGCTAGGTTATCACAGCGACAGACAAAATCAAAATTTGTCTTTGGGCAGAACTGCCTCCGAGTGCACAGTGGAAGGCACCCCTGCTTGGTCTCCGCGTGAAGCACTTTGCTGGACCCTCAGCATCTGATACTTCCACCGACACGTGAAGATGGCCACATATGCTGAGGTCGGTGCCGAACATCTAGCCCCAGCAGGAGCTGAATGAGGAGGCGGAAATCAACAGTTACCATGACGTACAACTCCACAAGGCATCTAGGAAATCAGAAGTCAAAACATGACCCCAAATGTGGAAAAAAAAATAATAAAAAAATACAGAAACAGGCAGGAAGAACAGTGCATTACAATAGTGCTTATTGGAAATCTGTCTGAGAAGTAGGAGAGAACAGGGGAAAAACAGAAACCAGTTTGAATAACGCATTCTTTCTGCTATTCAAAAGCAGATGTATAATGGATTGTATCTTGCCATAAGACTAGAACATTTCTACATGAAAGGGAAGAGGGAACATCCTCTGTCAAAGTAGCAGCAGGCAACTTCCATATTAGGTCAACATTTCTGGGTTGTTATTCAAACCTAGCAAGAGAGGTCTAACAAGAGCCAGAAGCTGGCACAGTCCTATTCATCACAGTAAGTGCTGCGATGCCAAGCTGAACAGTATAGTGGAAGCTTGGAAAAAAACATTCCCAGAGTCAACACAACATTAAGTCTACAGCCCCTCTTTTTGATCTGTGGACTCCTGGGAGCAAAGTGCAATTAAGCCAGCCTGGGACAGATTTCAGAAGTCGCTTTTTATTTTGCAGGCCTGTTTTTGCATATACAAATTATTTAGAAAAGAAATACGGGATAGCAGAAGTGTGGAAATATCTATTTTGATTCACAGTGCAGACAGGGAGATATTTAGCTGTCTGATTTCAAGACACATTTGCTTGTTTTCAATGAGCTTAACTACTCAGTTGTTCAAGCCTGACTTTTTGGGTATGCAGAAAAAAATGAGGAAAATGATTGTTATGCTGGGGTTCAACAAGCGAGTGAAAGCACAGCCCTTCTAGTCCAGATATGTGTCATGTCCAAAGGAGCAAGGCAAAGAACACCCAGAGACACTTACTAGCTTTTAAGTTCAAATGCCAAAGCCCCAGGGGTTTGGTTTTGCAAGTGGAGCTCTCAGCATGCAGCTCCACTAGTAGACTGCTCGTTCAGCATTTCCACTATGCCGTCTAACAGGTTGAGATCTTAAAACCAGTAATTTCCTCTGAGCTAAAATCTTGGCAAAAAATCTTTGGTCAGACCAGAAGCAGTTTTTGTTTTAGAAGTAGATTAAGTTTATATTGGAAAAAAGAAATATTTATAAAAAACCCCCACACTATAAAGCCATGGCTTTATCAAGGCGAGGTTAGCTTCTGCAGTTACTGGCTCAGAAGTCAGGAGGCTCCAAACACATCTCTGCTCAGTTATACAGTGATGAACCTCCACTATACTCCTAGGATGACCTCCTCTTAAAAGGTCCAATGACACATTTTTGAAAATATTAATTCAAAACCATGACGATTTAATTTCCCTCTTAAGATAAGGGTTGGATCTATCCCCATGCTTGGGGATATTCCACCAGACCTTAACTGAGTATCCGGAACCCTTCCCACTAAAGTCCACTAGGAAATAATTTTGCAGCTTTCAAAAGCCGTAAGAGTAGACATCGCTCAAGGAGATGATGCCCAGGACTACAGACTGCTATGATCACAATGAGCACAGACACGCAATTTTCTCTTTGGCTTAGGGATCAGGCTAACCTTCCTCCAGTATCAGGACAGCTGGTCTGCCGCTGGAAGCTCTGTGCTAGACTAAGGCAGCCTGGCCTGAGATCAATGGGCTTGTCTGATGATGTAACAGATAAGGGAAGTCTCTCCCCCAGTGCAGCCAGGCCCTGGAAGCATCATAGGATAATGACACAGAGAAACAGCTACGCTGTGAGATCTCATGATGCAGAAAACCCTGTCACAGACTGTACTGTTACAGAGAAACAAATGTAGCTAGAAACAGGCTACCAAAACAATCGGAATGTGCTTTGCAGCAACAAGCAATGCTTAAATTCTTTCAAAACCATGTATGCAAGCATCTGGAAAGGCACATACTTTACATTAGTATTGGTGCAGATGATGTATTCAATCTCGTCGGAATAAGGGTTCTGAAAAGTGAAGCTGCTGGTTCTGATCAGCATCCATTCCCGGTTTTTGGTACGAAAACGATACATCACAGACAGGACTTGACCTTTCAGTTTCACAACCTGCAAAACCATTTGAAAAGGTTAATAAAAGGAGATCGCTACCTGCTGTGCAAATGAATAGTAAACAGCAGTTTACTATTACTAAACTTGAATTACAGAAAGCCATGGACACAGCAAGGGGATTCTTCATTTGAAGACAATAAGCAAAATCTGATTCATGTTTGCAGCTATTTCCTTCAGAATGAAACCCTCACGCTTTGCTGTATAAAATGCCATTTTCCAGCCTGCATATAAGAAGAATACAGATTCAGGATAACCAACAGGTTGTGCTGTTATCCCAATAGGGAAGCTTTAGGGTTTTAATGCTGAATGCTTATCAAGAGATTGACAGAAACCAAAATGAGGATCATTTAAGTGCTTATAGGTAAACCATAAACCTAACATTGCAGCTGAAACAAAAGCCCACCAGAAAAAAACATTTTGAGGTTGACTATCTGCTTTTCTGCTTGGATACCTAGCTATACAATTCGTATATGTGATACACCAAATCACACATCAGCACGAAAATTTAGGGTAATACTTAAGAAAGATGGCTTTTTTTTTTTTTTTAGAAACCATACATGGTTGGTTTGGGTTCTTCCCCAAACACACCGTAAGACCATCTATGATGGCAAAGTGCTAACAAGAAACAATTGCTTCTGTCTTTCAAAACAATAAAGAGTGACCCAGCCTTTGAACGGAGAGAACACCAATAAGCCACTGTCCATTTTAACAGTATTAATGAAAACGGAGAGCAAATCCTTTGCTTGGGCAGCCTATTTGTTTATGACTAAGAATTCAGATGTCTGGCAACACTCAGATCAAATTCTGGCTTTGGTAGCCGAAGTTTTGTTGAAGTCAATAGCTGGGCATCAAGTGAGAAGTAAGAAGCAGCCAGCTAAAGAAGTAAGCTCAGAACAATACTTGCATGCTGGCACTGTAACTGCATTTTATGTGTTATCTTACAACCTTGGTTTAAGTCAGAAAAAAACATATATGGTTTCAAGTCATTCCGCTGGCACTTACGTGGGCTATCTGTGTTTATTTTTTATTGCTTTTCCACCAAGCTATCTCAGGGGTGCCTCAGGGAAGGAAAGGGAAAGTCTACTGCAAAAAAATGCCACATCTCATTGTGGATTCTTAATACTTACCCACTGGAATTTATTTTTTATTAGCTATCTGCAGCCTGCATTCTCTAAAAGTAGAAACCCCAGTATTTACCCTCTGTCATTACTGACAAGCAATTGGATTAGAAAAATGCTCCAATCCTGTTTTTTCCAGAGGTCTGCATTTGAAATTGATCAACGGGATACAGGATTAAGTGGAAAGAATGCAAATAGAAGACACAAAAAGCTTTAGCAATGCCCAGGAAAGTTCAAAATAATACTGAGGTAAAGGCTTCTTTCGTTTGAGTTCAGTGAGCGTCATTCTTTTATCAGCAATTTTCTACTACCACACCCAGGGCAAAAAACACAGAGCTTGTGTAAAAGTGTCCAATCTGAATAGCATCCTACTGGATATCAAATAGCTGTATTCTGGATCCTTTGATACTAAACTCTATTTGTTGATCTTGGCCTTGAGACTATCTTATTCTGGACTGATTTTCCCACCCTGATGAATGAATTTATCTTCCCAAGGAAGTAAAAGCTTTGAGATGGATACTGGCAATTGACCAAAAAGTGCAAAACCCTCCCTCCCTCCTCTGTTATGCACCGACCTGGTTCTGATACTGTCAACAATTAGAAATGTCAAGTTTTCAGAGGGTTTTAGAGAAAAAAAAGAGAGTTTATTGGAAATCACAGTTACCTTTTTAATGAAAAGATTTCTAAGGCCAAACTAACAATAATAAAACAAACTGCAGTGATCTATTGTCCTGAAGTCTCAATTAAGCAAACACTAATTCTGTAATAATATATAAAGCATAGAGATTGCTGGTGGGAAAATCCTGAACTGTCTTAAGACAGTGCACACAAACAAGATAGCACAAAAAATTTCAAAGCTAATGTTTAACCTTTACTTTCTTACATTCTTGGAAATAAAAAACACCTGGTGCACAGTTTAACTGTTTATTTCAGTCTTCTATTGCATGATTGAAACTACAGCTCAAATCACACTGCTACTGAACTGAATAAAAATATACCGAAAAAGGAATTGCCTACTAAAGAAACAGCACAATATTTTCATAGATTGGACACAGGCTGAGTGAACAGGAACTTTCACTTCTAATCTGCATTTTTTCCTGCTGTCTTTTTGCATGACCTAAAGCAAATCATTTAGGTCCCTGATCCAGCTAATCATTTATGCACATGCCTAACAGTGAGTAGCAGCAGTGAAGTCCCCAGCAACTGAGTGCAGGAACACACCAGCAGTCTCCCACAGCCTGATCTCACTCTCAAGTGAACACAGCGAGGACCAAGTCATTAACTTGGATGTTAGTCAGTCAGCCCTTCTGAGCCCCAGGCCATCACTTCAGAGGTGGATGTCTGACGTGCTATTATGTAGCAGCTCTCTGTCATTGTGTCTTGGATAAATTAGTGGAATCAAGCATTTGGGCATTAGTGAAAAACAGCATACGCATTCTCGCTGCTCTTCATGCACCACTGATGTGATCAGGCACAAGTTCAAGGAGCTGAACCAGCTGAAAACTAGTCCCATGCAAAAGCAATCAGTCCCTCAGCTAGCCTACCCAGCAAGTCCATCTGTGCTAGTACCAGGATAGTAAGAAGGGTGGGGAAGATGTCAGGCAGGAGAGAAGAAGTGGGAGTCAGACCTGACTGCTGGTGACAGCTACCCATCAGGTAGGTTCAACTGCAGCATCACACCCCCAACCAAGGTGGGGTAGAGAAGACGACTGGGTGTGGTGACCTATTTCAAGCTCCTAACTCTCACAGGCTCCTGCCTATGAATCAACATCTTGAATTTAAAAGGTCTTTAGCTGCTGTTTGAACTCAGTCCATTCAAGGGACATGAAGCAGATGCAGAGGGTTCATACAGTCTTTTCTGCTAGCTCAGCAGCAGGGGTGGTAGTCTCTGCTTGAAGCAGGGGGTGGTGAGAAATAGTGTAAGACACCAGTACTCTTGAACTATCTCAAACACTTCTGTAGAGACCATAACCTCAGTTTCACTATCTACTCTATGGACACAGAACAGCATTTAGTTGTTTTCCCCAGAGGGCTTTTCAAGCTCCATTTTTGCATGCCATGTCTGAATAAACAGTTGGCTATACAAATTGTTTTAGAAGTCACTTCATATCCACGTTTCACAGCTGAAAATACATCTCAGCATCCAACACAAGATGGAACAACAAAACTTGGTAGAGCTATAGGCTGTTGTCAGAAAATCTGGAACCACTTAGATCATCTGAACCTCAGCAATCTGTTAAACATACTGCACTGCAGTATGCATATCTTCTACTGCAGTAGGGAACATGTTGAAAAGATCAGTAACCAGCAGAAGGCTTGGTGAAAGCACTCCTCCTGTATGTCCCAGATCAATCTGAAACATAAGCTATATAACAGAATAAACGCCTTTGATATAGCTGATGTAAACGTGGCCCACTGTAAAATTAATCCAGATCAGTAACTCTTCCCATATGTTGTATTTCTTTTGCTACTTCTGTCTGCATTTCAGTTCCTAATAGGGAGACAGAACAAATTCTCTATTGATGTAAAGTGGTGTAACTCCATTAAAGTATGAAGCATGTCATCTCTGCCAGCAGAGAATTTTGGTCATAAAAAATCCATCATTAGAGAGGAGTGTAACTACTTTCAAATCAACAGCCTATCTTGGAAGGTAAATTCTTTCTGTTACCACTGAACACAGCGGGACCTACACAGGCTCTCCAAAACGACTCCAACTGTGCAGTGAACACTCATTTAATTTTATGTAAAAGAAAACAGAATGTATAACTAGCTTACTTATTTCTGAAAACACAGCAAACAGATGCTGCAGTTTAAACTACAATTTTTGCAGCTTAACTGATTAGTAACTGAGCAACAAATTGGTTTGTATCTTCTTATTTTTTCTGCATAACAGAAAAACACCTTGAAATGAAAAATAAAGGCTACTTCTCTGAAAAAAATAACAACAAAAATAATAAATAAATGTCAGAAGAAAATGAGCAGGATGCAGCACCTGTTGGAAACTCTCCCTCAAATGGCTTTGATCTTCAGGATGGCAGAATTCTAAAATATCTTTCCCCAGAAGATCCTAGAATAAAACATAAAGCTGTGTAAAAAACCCAGACCACAACACAAATCAACGTGCAGACCTGCAAGTAATCCTTGCAGTCACTAGATCTACCAGCCTTAATGGTACTACTCAGTTAATCGGGGATCAATCATACAAACAAGGTTTGTAGGCACCATGACCCACATTATATTTGTACTGTTGCATAGATACATGCATTTACAAACAAATTTTAAGTGGTTTTTTTAATACCTGTGAAATGGTGTCTTGAAAAGACTGGCATCCTCTACTACAGCTCGCTTTATGGCACTAATTTTTGTAAAAACAGTTATTATAAAGCTACCTAAAATAAAAGTTAAGTGTGCAAGAAATTATTTTTGCCTCTAAACGGCAACTGTTGAGAGTTATTCGAGGGAGAGTGGTGGTAGTCAGGAGTTCATTTACTATTCTACGCAGTTCTGTGACTAGCCTCCTATTCAGTGGAGCAGATGTAAGCCTAAAGGAAAACAGATGCCATAAATTATGTCTGCTTACTGTTCAATAGATTGGCAGAAGTAAAGATCTAGAGGACTAAAAGTCTCTCCAAGCACTGTTAACTTTCTATCACAGAAACGTCTTACTGGAAAGCTGTGCAAGGTTTAAGGCATCTTGCTGTTAGAATTCTAATTGGATCTAAAAGGTATAAAAGGATATCCCACATAACAAAGGGCAAAACTAAATTTTACAGAGGTGTGGGCAGCAAAGAAAAAATGAACAGCATTAAGTGCATGACGTATGAATTATCAGCTACAAATATTTCATGTTTTGCTGCTTTTGTTTTTAATGCACAAACAGAATTTTGTTCATTAGCTCTAACCAGTCTCCACATTTACAGCAACTCACTGACCTGGGGCTGGTAGCCAATGACGCTGATGCATCTTGGGTCAACGAAGGTGATGACTCCATCAGAGTTGTGCCTAGACAAGAACTCAGTTGGGACTGACATGCCATTCATGTCCATGCACACTGGAGAGCTGGTTACCTACGACCAATTAAGTCCACCGCATTTAGTCCACAGAACAGTCACCTTAAGTCAAGTTTGATACCTTAGCTAAAGAACAAAATCCGTTGGCAGAGTGCTAACTACAGAAGGAAGCCATAAATAAAAACCCATCACGGATAAATGACAGAGAACAGCCTTTAGTCTAGCTGGCAGGGCAAATATCTCACCCCATGGCACCTACCTAGGCTTAATAGCACAGCAGGAAGACAAATACACCAGAAGTTCCCAAGAAGGAGGGATATAATAAGGATATAAGCACAGCTGGAATCATTTCACTTTATGGCACCACATTAAAGTTAGGCATCTTGGTTTCCCACCTTTGTCAACCAAAAATGAGAGACTTGCAGAGGACAATTCAGTCTACCAATTTTAGGACAGTAAGGTCAGCCTCTAGAACAGACCAAACCATTATCTGTAGATATATCCAACAGGACCAGCTCAGACTAAACACTCAACTTTCAGGTGAGATGAATGATGAACGACACCTGAAACACTCAAAGAACCTGAACAAAGTTCTCCAGAGGTCAAGTTAGGTGATATTAGGCCACCAAGTGGCTGGTCGTAAGGAAAAACCACAGTCCTCCTATAAATGCTCCCCAAATATCACCAGAGAGAATGATGCATTTCCAGCTCTCTGCCTGAAACCTGTGCAATCAGGCCACTTCATATCCATACATTCCTACTGGGGCTGCAAATGAGACCATTGTCTTTCTTACAACTTCCAGAGCTCTCTCTGTTAACAAGGTCCCAACACAAAAAGAGCAAAATCTCACTTTCTTTTTTTCTGTCTCGAAGCAGATTAGCCAGTTAACTGTATGCAAGATTTCAATTTGCTGTTTCAGAACAGCGTTTTTAATTTGTGCACCTTGACTCCTTTGTGATTAAACCCATCCACAGAGCCTCCTCTTGCCCTCTCTCACATACCCTGCTGTTCTTCTAATGTAACAGATGTTTTGATACTCTACATGTTACTACTGTGATTTTTTCAGAAATCATCTTTCTTTGGCAGCTGTGACATATGAATCCCCATAACTTCCTTCTCTCCGTTAGTGGAATATATTACCCTTGATTATAAAAGCACGATTAACCCCAAAACCATCATGCAACACTTTTGTAGCTCTGCCATCGCAATGGAGACGCACTGCAGAAGTGCTAACGCTTGCAGTAACATGCAGGCTGTTCACCTCAAGTAAGATGGGTTTGGCCCCTGTGCTCTAAGGAAAGGGTTACTCTGCCTTGTCAGAAGGAGGGATGCCATCCCAGCAGATGGCAAAGAGTGCAGGCCAACAGGAGATCATGCAGGAGGCTCAAACATGTTCACCCATGGCAGAATTCCCAGACTGGGAAGATAAAAATTAGCCTCCCTGCTGTAGTGAAGGAGACTCACCACGACTGCTCTAGCTCAGAACTCTTGTCAGCAGTAGACAAAGGAAGAAAATGTAAAACGTCAATTACAACCGTCTGGACAAAAGGGAAATAAAATTTTATTCTCACAGACTCCTTGGCTGACATCACATCTGAATGCGCACTACAATACACGCTGAGAATAAAGCTATTATTTGTGAAATGCCTCTTGACTGCCTTATCTTTACCATTTTCAGAGTAACTCCTGAAATCACAGTTTCTCAAGTAGTTGATTAGCCAGAGAGAGAGAATTAATGAAAGAATAGCAGGCAGCATACCACTGCCTTTGGGAACCACTTTAAGCTACCATCTGCAGCACCCGTACTCCCACATTTCTCATAACCTAGAACATTCCAGCCCAACACACCCTAGAGAATAGCAGGTCTGTGCATGCTCATGCTCCAGGAGCATCTTTGCTGCTGTTGTGGGATTAAATACACATATGCACCAAAATCACATTTCTCTGTTGACATGTTCTAAACAAGTCCTGCCCATGGCAGGGGGGTTGGAACTAGACGATCTCTAAGGTCCCTTCCAACCCAAACCATTCTGTGATTCCGTAAGTCACTCGCTGTGACATTAAGGTGCTTTGTATTTTGTAGGCATGTTAGATGTTACAGTCTAGTACCAGAACTTTGTACAAATCCTTTACAACTAAATCACAACACCGATTACGCTTTTGGAAGTAGCTCATTTAAGGAAAGACTGGCATTACCTGAAGCCTTCCTATTGCCACGAGGCAATATTTACTACCTTGTCCCACATCAGCGTCTTCTTCTGGTATAGTCATTCCTAAAGTAAATGATAAGAAATACTGTTATAATTAGTAAATTGGGATGAGCAGGGATGCAGCTGGCCTGGTTCTATACTACTCTAGATGCTCTAAATCATACAAAATAACCTTATTGCCTTATTAATGCATTATCTCTGGGTTCAGATTGGATTATCTTTCTTAGTTGTGCTCGATCCTACATACCTCACATGCATATACAGTACCCATGGCAGCAATTTTGTCTGACAAAGACAAAGCAGATGCAAAAATTCCATCATACACTGAGATGGACAATAACATTTCCATGAGTACTGCTCCACAGCATGTTACTAGAACCATGTGGTCCCTTAGTATGTTCAGTGAATGCACACTATGTTCAGTTTTCTTTGCAAATAATATATTATAATGAGCCTTAAAACCAAGGCTCAGCCTAGATTTTTCATTGACTTGGTGCTCGTATTTAACAGCTGGTTTTACTTTTTTTGTATAATGGACTAAATCTGAGTTGTTACGTTGAAAGACTGAAAAAACGCGGATGCTTTGCTAACAGTGCTTGTTTCAGTTGTGTAACAGGAGCAGCTATTATAAACACAGGAATAATGTCAAAACATACATGTGTACTGATTTCCATCTCAGTGTTTCACAAATAGGAACATCCAGATTACTCTGTTTACTTGCCTGTTGGCTAGGCCTTTAGTTAAAGCTATTTCCCAACTTCAGTTCTGAGATACCAATTTCCTATGAAGCACTTGAAAAAACATTTTCCAAGAGTGACACTGCTGACTTATTTTAAGTGATTTGTAAACTCTTTCACAAGGCTTTTCAAGGAATTCAGTCACAACAGACAGTGAATCATTTAAGAAGCACTTTAAAGCATTAACGAAATTAATTGCAAAGCAGCCACCAATTATGAAACAACTATCACTTAATTTTCAAAATTTGTAATTCTCAACATAAATCAATGTCTGGACTGTGCACAGGATGACAGCATACAACTTTCTTAAACGATGCCTCTGAAAAATGACTATAAATACTGCTGGATGAACCGAAGCAGTCTCTGAAGGAAGTTATTTTGTATCGAAATAATTGAATCTTATCGCACAATAAGTTTCTAAATAGCACTCCACAGGTATTTTTCAGTTCCCATTGAGCTATGTAATAAAAGAAAATAAACAAACTGTGAAAGAAAAAAAAAACTTATTTTTTGTAGAATATATTCAAACATTATTTGCAGTGCAATTCACTATTTTGGTGACCTAACTTCATTTGCAGCCACCGACAGACAACTAGGATTTTACCAGGGGATCTGAAAGAGCTTTACAAAGGAGGAGCATTATTGTCCCTTCTAACAAGTGGGAAATTGAGGTGCCTTATGAATTTGAACATCACACACTACAAGAAGTGGGCAAAACCCCCATGTCTTCTACACAATGATCTTGCTACCCAGAGATACAAACTTGGCCCTGCATAACTCCTTAGCTTCTAAACGTATGAGGTATCCCTCACCAAACACCGGGATACTCCTCTGAAATGTTTTCTTAGAAGCTGTATGAGAAGATCAAGGTGGCAGTATGTGACCTTATGAGTGTATTTTACGAAATCAATCATTAAACACATACATTAAAAATAACATTGGAAGGAATCAACACGTTCTTTTTCAATTAAACATTATTTTGTGCTTCTGATAAAGGTCCCTCCGTGGCGTACTAGGGACCCAAACTTTCACTCAAGATCCTTCATCTGATTCAGACATCCTCAAAATTAAGAAAACTCGCATTTATCCTCCCTGTGGGACAGTTCTGCGCCTGCAGTTTATCAGTTTATCCTTCAAGCATTTAAATTACAAAGCATTGTTTTGGTATTTCACACATCACTATTCCAGTCTCTCTTCTGTTACACACCAGGCAAACTACAAACAAGAGCCCAAACACAAGTGACTCCCATGCTCTGAGACACCAGCACACCACGGAGAGCAAAAACCACTGACATGAAACTACAGTGAAGAGATTCATATTACAGAAGTATTTTGTTTTCCTTCCTTGCTGTATTTACACACAGCTATTTCTTCAGCACAAGACTTAGTAATTACCTAACGACAGCTCCAATAGGCAAAGGAACATTTGGCTGCCTCTTGAGAAAAAGAGAGAAAATTACCCTGAAAAAGCAGCAGCAAGCATATCTACTCAAAATTGTGTCCACTTTAGACAAAATTTTGTCAGACATGGCTGCTAACTGCTCACATACACACGGGGTGCCCGGAAGGGTGAGCTACCAAAACTAAACCTGGACTCCTCCACATAAGCAATTTAAATTTTAAACAGGTAGAAAAAGGTTAACTGAGAATTGTGTCCAGTTTGCAGGGCATGACACCTGGAATCCAGCAGTTCCATCTTACCAAGCAGCGACTAGAGGTGTGACCTGAGAGCAGGACAAATTAAATGATGCAGCAGTTTAGGAAGGAGCATGAGGATGCTGACGGCGCTGCAAAAGAGATGCAGCAGCACACGAACACAAGCACGGGAGGCAAGAAAGCACTGGTGCAACCAAGAGTGAACCTAACACTTTGGCTGGAAGACAGCAGCCAGGCCTGCGTCCCTCCTTGAGATGAGCGAGGAATCTCTCCCTCCTCAGCCCTGAATGCCACACCAGGGCAAACCTCCACATTCAAAGGCCAGCTGAAAGAACAAGCATTTTAAAAGCTGATGCCTGAAGCAATCACGGTAACATTCAGACAGCTCGGTAAAGGTGGTCTGATCTCAAAGACGGTGAGTGATGCTAGGTCCTACCGCATTCAGAGGATTTTCCTGGTGGATGCTCGGTACTTCTGAGAATGGGGCCACTTAACCAGAGAGGCCTAAGTGCTGTTTTAAGGAAGTAATTCTAGGCATTCTAATTGGATAACCTTTACCAAAAGGTCCCTTTAAAATGGAGTTTTCCATTTGAGAGGGACAGACTTAAAGTATATTCCCTTGACTTCAAAAGCTTTTTCAGTCGTTTCCTTAGTGGCACAGCGTATTGTAAATGACAGCAAAGATACTCAGCTGGATGGCTTCCACTTCGCATAATCTTTTTTCCTGCAGTTTTCAACAACGCCTTCCTTTTTAGGAACTTGGTCCATGCTTGCTACTGCCCAAATAAACTCAAAGCAACATAAACAATCTCCAAAAATAAACCTAGCTAAGAAACACCATTTCTGATGTCACTCTGTTGGCAAGGGAGGCTGTTGTTCTAATTTTCACCTCCCCCCCAAAGATGGATTACATTTGCTCTGTATAACACACTGGAAAATGTATTAGCTGGGTTATCCCACAAGACACCCTATGAATAAAAATCTGCCTGAAATTAATCAATATGTGACCCAGTGAATTGCTAACCCTTCCCTAAAAGTGCCTGGAGTAAAAATACGCCAAAATGATCATCTGCTCGTCTGCAGTATAGGTGCTATTACTGACAGCATTTCATAGAGGGAAATTTGTTTTCTTTAGTCTCTTGTTGATAAGTTTCAACTGAGGGTTAGCTTATATAGGAGATGCATTCACAGAGAGACTTACTGTTGCTTTAGCATACTTCCTATTGAACATACCCCAATACGGACAGGCAAATACAGACAACGTGTACTGCACGTAATACTGGTTTGTCCAGCTCTTAACATAATCTGCTGTTGCTCCTTAACACCACCAAGTACCATCAGTATCTCAAAAAAGGGTGCAAAAGCCTCCGGGAAGGCAGCCATGAGACTGATCTTTAGGAGGCATGAACAAAACAAACATATATTAGTTATTCACATTCTTTAGGTATAACCCTGAGAAAGGCTTTATTTCTCCACACCAAATATATGCTCCTCTTGAATAATAAACATAGTGCTATGCTTGTTCAAGTTAATATCAACAATTTGCAAAGCTAAGCCTGCAACTGAGCATCACAAATAGAATGCTGTGCCATTAGAGGTTAATTTCCAAGTGTCCTTTATGCCAGCAAACAGTTTCCCACAGGGCAATGGCATGTGTTTGTGTGGACATAAGGAACTTTTTAGTTTTCCCAATAAGCTTCCAGTTGGCTCTAACAGAACAGCTTCATTTTCCACCTTCTTTCTCTATCCTTCTGCCCCAGATTTTCTGCGAGACACAGAATAGTGTTAGTGGATTTGTGGTTTTATTTCACTCACTCAAAAAGAAATTCTTTATGAGTCTTTAGAAGGATGTAATTAAGTGTCTAGTGGTCACTGAAATCCCCTGTTAATGCCTGTCTCGACCAGAACCACTTCTGATAGTTACATGCCTGTGCATGACACTGCACGGTATGACTTTATCTCCCATAGACAGCAATGGAAAAAGGCTTTCACAGAAAAAGGCTGTGGATGTTTACAGCATACCAAGGAAAAATCTCATGAAAATCCAAACAAAAACTAATTTCTTCTTTAAAAAAAAAGCGCCTTAAAAATGACAGCACTGCAAAGAATATTCAAGCAGCTATTTTGTTTTGTATTGGAAGAGGGAGTACTTTGCACAAACGTCCAGATTCTGGCCAAAACTTTAAAATAACCTAACAGCTTTGGCATGCTGTGGTTAAGACGTTACCGTAAGTCTGACTTGGAAGATTAAAATGTTTCTTTTTTAAGATAAAAAACGAACAAGAAAAAGAAAAAATTTCAACATTATTTGAATTTAACATTATTCTTCGACTTCTTATTTGAAGTTTTTGAAATAAGTATCTATCTAAGCCTTTTGTTCCCTGTGTGTTTTTCTGCAGGTCCTGGCTTTGAGTTACAGAAAACTAGCAACATCCTGACAAAAAACTGTATCTTCTCTCTCCACCAAGTATTTTCCATCAATTGTTACGGCATGAAAAAAAAAGCTGTTAGGAAAATATCATATGGACCACATAAGATTCATTTCCTTCCAGGAATGAGATGCTCAGAGGGGAAAAAAAATAGAAGAAAAGCAAATACTTGCTTAAATTGAAAACAATGATCAGGAGAAGGTCAGCATTTCTCAGTTTTGTGAGTGGTTATGAACTTGAAGCATTGTCTAGGCTAAGCATCACAAGATGCTTCACTGGGAACAGGGGGACAAAGGCTGGAATTGGTGCTCAGCCAGTTTCAAACAAGGGGTCTTTTTACCTCATTCAAAATAACCCAACACTGCACTGTCATTATTTAATCTAGCATACACTCCACATAAGAAATGAACAACGTAACTGGTTGGAACATTGATCTGGAATATCTGACTCCTTTTTTCTTTGACTTCTACACAAAGTTTACCCTGATTATTTGAGGCCAACACAGAATTTATGGGGATATAAGTGTGTACGTATCATATACCGGGTTTTGCACTTGAGCTTAGTTTTACCCTTCTTTTGCAGGCACAAGGGAGGAAAATCAATGGACCATTAACAAACCCAGCCTGAACGGATGCGCTCCTCAAAGCAGCTTGGTCTTCTCTCTGTGTCCCACTCAGAGGCAAACACACTGTATTAAGGGAACAGCCAAACAGCTCCTTTTCCAGGGGAACAGAGAGAATGCTCAGGCTGCAGAACTCCTGGGTCTGCTTTCTTAGGAAACATGGGAGAGGCAGGTGCTGTAAGCTCCGAGCTCAGTTCTGTGCAGAGGATGAGGCGTGATGTTTTCTGTGTTTTCTCTCCCACTTCTCAGTGGAAAAGGGCAGTCTGCCAGTAAGTGAGCCTTCCTGCTCCATTAAGGAGGAAAAGAAAAAAATTCAGGCTAGATGTGCAAAGTAATTTCACACTGACCACAGACCTGAGCCATAACAGAATTCACTTTCTACCTTAGCTCTGTGAAAAAAACCTCCAGTCCTTAAAATATGACACCATTTTGATGCCAGCTGTCATCTGTTTTCACCTGTTTAAAGTATCTGAATTACTTAAGAGATTTAGCACAGACTATTCACAGCAGCAGCACTGTCAAACCTGATAGTCTTTCACACTAATAATGGTCAGAGCGCAGTTCTTGCCTTGATATTTCTGTATCAAAACTGAGTTATACTCAGTGTGGGAGTAAGGAAAATTTAACACATTGGCCACAGACAATGCAATACAACCCAGAAAGAGAAAATAACAGGTGCTCAACAAATTAGAATAAGTACAGATTAAATGCATTTGCTAAATATTTGTCATTTCATTTATGAAAGTATGTTCTACGTGTTGTATATTAGTTGTATAATGCATGTGCCACATTGCAGGCTCTGGAAGAAAAGGATATGGAGTTCGTATTAGAATGTCCACTTGGCAATTGAAAACTAAATGAAAATGATCCTTTCCATAGCTTTTTTTTTTTTTTAAAAAACAGCTGCAATCTAGCACAAACTCATTTATTCCCAAGAATCCAGAGACGATGCAAAGGCACGGGGCTTGCTACTGTCTAACTGATTTGAATAAAAGTAATTTTATTACTGGGTAGAAAAGCCTCAGTAAATTCAATTACTGCTGCAGTTATTTCATTTGCTTTGCAGATTACAGTTGAATTACCAATGGAAATGAGAACAAATGCAGTGATGCTGCCACTTATTTACCCAAATGTACTGGGGATGAATTCAGCCCATGGATATTCCCATTCAACTCCAAAAGTCAATGGATATGCGACAATCACCAGCACAAAGCGGGGAAGACTGGAAGGGCAAATAAACACTCATGAGAGAGGCCCTGATTCAGTACTATATGCCCTGAAAAAGGCACTCAGGCATGATTATTATGAGTAACATTCTGGATGGTAACATAGAAGATTTGAAATTCCACATAAGGGTGTCAAAATCAAAAACATCCCTCAGGATTCTGCTATAGTTTGGAGGCATTAACATTGTGGAGGAGGACTGGGATATCATAAGGGAGCACCATGTGATTTTGAGGAGTGGAGTAATAAAAATGGGATGAAATTCAACATTACTAAATGCATAAGCATGTCCTTGGGGACTAATAACAGTCTAACTACAGCAAGAGAAATGGGATGAAACTTCGTATTACTAATTGAAAGATCACACAATTCAAAGCTATTTTTTGCCATGAACTGGAAGATCTTGAGTTGAGAACTGAGAAAAAGGCAGCCTGGTATATCTATCAGGTGATTTAGGATGCCAGCAGGATGCACTATACAAAAGGGAAGTATGTGATACCATATACTGCCCGTGAAGACAGAAAACATCATTTTCATTATACATCACTACAATCTCATCTGAAACAAGAGTGTACAGTGCCAGTGACCCACGTTTTGAAAAGTTAAGTGAAAACAAAAACAAATGCAGAGAAAAGACACAAGGATAAAGAATAGAATGCATTGTGAGAATGGAGATTAGAAGTGGGCTGATTTAACTGTGCAAAGTCAAGGCTGACAGGATACGACCTCCTTCTGAATTGCACCAGAACACTGGAGAGAGACAGAGACACAAGGCAGGAAAACTCCTGCTTGATCTTCAGTGAAATATAGTCCAAGACAGCATAAACTTCCCATAAACTAATGAGGGCTGGAAATTAGAAAGGTTGTTAAGCATGGGGGAGCAGGGAGCTTTTGGAAGAGCTGGAGATGTAATGTAAACTGGAACTTACAATGTGATACCTGGCAATGGGACACTTAAAAGATTTGGAAGATCCTTTTCAACCCATGCTCCTGACTGCAATGCCTGCTCCCCTGCAGAAATGGAGCCCTGAAGTCATTCACTGCTGACACTGTAACCTAGCACTGACGTGAGTTCATGCATTTGCACCTCTGCATTAGCAACATACACCCCTGAAGTGTTAGATGTCTTTAAACATCCCATAACATGCAAGGAGCTGAAAGAAATCTCATTCGACCTGCACCTTCCTGAAGAGACATCCCATACATCCAGGCTGAATTCAATTATGTTTGGAATTACTGGTAGAAAAGTTAATCTCTTTGTGGAAGAAGAAAACAAAACCCCTCTTTCATTTTCATAGAGCAGTTTACACACACTGTGCTCTCACTCTTTTGAAACAGAAATTAAACTGAAACATTTTGACTCCTACAGCACACTGAAGTATATTAAATCCTACTAGCAACAAGAGGGGAGGTTTTCCTCTTCTTCCGAAGCCGCAGTTCACCAGGAAATCAACAAGAAGTTCACATCCGCATGCTGGTGTCTGCACACCACTGCACAGACTTGGTGCAAACCGCCTTTTAGCATTCATAATCCCTGGACAAATGTGATTTTTGCTTGTGGTATACGACCACAAATGGGTAGGACAACTCCTGGTTTGATTCACGCCAGTAGGCGCTGTCATACTGCAAACAGCCTCTTCAACTACTGCAAATGCCAAGGTCAACTAACTCAGTTCATGATGATGTCTGGATGAGCTCCACTGTCTCCTCTTTGAATTTTTCAAAGGTAAATATTCCCATATGTAATACTGAGTTACACTAGGTAAATGTTTTTCTCTGTAGTTCAAAGCAATATGCCAAAGACTTGTTTCCCAGAAAAGCAGCCTCAAAACAGAACTTACCACAAACACTGGATGTTCCCCACTAATACCACCACTGTGAAGACCTATGCATCTAAATTGAAATTACGTACTTTTACACATAGGTGCTTGCAAGTCATTACTTAAATACAGAAGCACGAGTTGGTGCTTTCTAGAGGTACAAAAGCTTTGTGTTTACCTTCTTAAAATCAGTCCGTTTTACTGTCAGTTCATCAGACTGAAAACCTTTGGCCCCAGCTGCTGCAATCTCACATTACTGACAGCTTCCCCAGCTCTCTGTGCCCATGAAACTGAGAAGGGTTTCACATGGAAAATCAGGGAGGCCGAGAGTAACAACAGCTGATTTCTTGATATCAAAAGCTTCTCAAGATGAGACCAAATGGGCCACCCTGCTGAAATTCAGCCTGGTTTTGCACCAGAAAAGGGATCCCAAGCCAGGTTGTCAACTGCCTTGCAGATAGTTCAATGACACAGATACACACCTGCTGGTGGCCAAGCCTTGATATAGCCAGTGCAATGGACAACAGCATACTGTGCCTCGCCTTCTTTTACTGGGCCAAGGCCATTCCTAAATAAAAAGAAAACACAGAAATATCATGTTGATTGACACGCAGAATAGATTTGTGTTTTTGAAATTACTACAAATGATCTACTGATATTTCTAAGTTAGAAACAACCAACTGTCAACCTAGAGTTCCATACAAGATCAGTTCCATTACAAAGCTATTCAAGCCTTACTTGTTTTCCATAGCACTTCTTGGAAGCACTACTTCACACTGTGTGCTAATGCAGATGTTTGTCCAGGTAGTACTCCCTGACTGAGCATTAGCCCAGTGGAAAATGAGAGTGCTTATGGCAACTAACTGTTGCAGTAAATTAAGTAATAGTACCTGTATCTTTTTCTCATGGTGGTTATTCTGTTCAGAGGTAAATGATCCAGAGGAGCATTTCCACACCTAAAAGTAAATTAACATTTGAAAGGGCTCAAAATTAATATAAACACCCAAGATGACAATGCATTTTAAGATCTTTATTAGTATATTTAAGTAGACAATAATAGATACTTAATTCTGACAGAAAGTTGCAGATTCATGTTTTCTTAGAACTCGCTGCTTCCACAGGCTGAGCCTTTTGGATGCGCTACAAATATTTTCTTCATTTTATAAAGAAAAAATAGAAGAGACTACAAAAAGATTCCCTTCCGCCCCTCCAAACCTAAAGACTATTTGAAATAGATATTCCACGAATGGCTAAAGAATACATACACTTCAGAATAGTGAAACTAGAGAATAATGTAAGTCAGGCCCCCAAATATCCACACAAAACAATCTCAGTGTTCCAGTAGCTTCACTGGATAGAGCATTTCGACTGCTATACACCAGCTATAATGTTGGTAGATATTAATCTAATGTTTGCAAGAACAAACTATTTACACTGTCAAGTAACTTTGTGTAACTTTGTGTAACACTTGCTCATGTATATTTTGTGATATTTCTAAGTATGTTTAACTGTATAATTGTAACAATCCTTTTGAAGCTAAGTAAATAGTTTGAAGGGTAAAAGCAGTTCATTTTCAATGGAAAAAAGAACAATAACAATGAAAGAAGTAATCAGAAGGAAAGTTCACATTATTTGAGGCTCATTCTTCCCACAAGGTTTTTTTTTTTCTAATTATTATAATTATTTTTTCCTTTTTTTCTTTTCTTTTTTTTTTTTTTTTTTTTTAATACCAGTCACTGGCAAGGAAAAGGAACGAACAATTAAATTAAGATTTAGAATTACCAAAACAATGGGGCTACTGGCGTGTATAAAATTACTCTCACACTGGAGTTTACAGAATCAGGGTGCTAGGAAATAATTGCAATGTGAAATGTTGTTTTAAAAGCTGTAAACAGGACTTTAGGCCTGGTTTTCTTTGCACAAGAAAGTCCTCCTCACATGACCGCTACATGCAGCTTGGAGGAAGAGAAAGCAATGTTCCAAGTGTCTCCTTGCCAGGCTGCATTTCTTTCCCCCCAGTCAAGGGGAGAAAGAAGTATAATCTCACAGGTATGAAGTATATAAACCCTTCACAAAGGCACCCAAGAGCCATACATTCAGCTTTCTCACATGACTGGAAGAAAATCAACCACATAACCAAAGTACAAGCATCTGTTATAATGTGTCAAATACTTTGCTTTGCATGTTTCATTCCATAATAAGTTTTGCATCATCTGTTTTCAACACATATATTTGCTATAGGCTGCAGATGCAATTATGTACTTTCCCCCACACACTGAGAGAAATTTATTGCAATAGCAACAGGCACTTTATCCCATTAGCACTACAATAACAGAAAGGCCCACAAGCCCAAGTCAGAAGCATTGGGCAGGCAGATTTCTTTAAAGAAGCTCAAGCAATGCAGGAGTAAGTTGGAAAATTGCAAAATAAAAACCCTCTAACAATTACTCATTTATCTAGCATCAACCAGCTGACATCTGGTTAATTCATACCAGGCTTAGGTTAATTCCTACATAGCTGGCAAGTTTGCAACTGAATTCCTGTTTGTCTTCAAGATTCTTTTAATATTATTGGTTTGCTGAAAAAATACACAGCGTTGGGCTTTCATTACATTTGTGAAAGTTTTGTTCCCAAAGTATTGATTCAAATAATTTGACTAGAAGAGACAATAGCTTACATTCCAGGGGTGAAGTTGTCATGAAGTTCTCTGGGGAAAGAATCCTACACCCCACACTGATAAAAATAACTGCAACATACAAATGAGATGCTGTTTTGTCATTAATCATGAAGGAAGACAGGTTTCAGTTTTACTCCAGTTCCAAAAGCAAGAATTCTGGAAATGCTTAATGGGAGTGTGTCATTACATCTTCGAAGCAAGGTCAAATTAGTGCAACAAAATGCCTGAAGTCTAATCTGAGATGGGACTGGAACCATCACAGGAATACAAGGTAAATGCGTACCTCATCCTGCAAATGAAAGAGCGCCTTGATCCCATGCACATTCTCATTGATGACTGCTGACCCTCTTTCTTTACTGTTCCGGTCTTCAAGTCCAGGATTCGTCCTAGAAAAGCCAGGGAGAGCAACTGTTTTGTACATAAATTTAATTCCATTTACTACAACCTAAGATGACAATAAGTTCATAAGATAAATGCCATTAGCCCAGTTACGGGAAAAAAAATACCAACAAAAGATCTTGATCCTGGTCTCACATCAGTTACGTGCTGCCTTAACTAACAATTTCAGTGAAGCTGACTCTGAGTCACAACAGCGATGGCTCTTTTCTCAGTTGGCACAAGACCAGCTACCAAGGCAGGGTCAAATGTCTGGAGGCTGAGAAGACAATGACAGCAAGCACCGCTTTTTGACTTGATCTGCTCACTCCACTCTTTACCAGAACTGTGGATAAAGCAACAGGCATCATTTCCCTGACAGCTGCTTCTCTTCCCCTGTGCTCTCCTGTCTACCCAGACCGCTCTCACCATAACACCACCACATATTCAGGGCTGCAGTGATGGTGAGGAGTACATGAGATCAAACTTTCCTCCTTGATGATGAGATACAGCAAGTGTCACAGCAGCATTTGTGGTGGGGTCCTTTCAGAGTGGACAAAAACCTGACATGTCAGCATATTTTTTAGTTGACTTTCAGCTGGATCAGTGAGATTATCTGCCTCACGACACAGCAACATGAGCCTATGCAAGGTCCATGGCTGGACCCTGTTGATCAGCATAAGCTGACTACAAATCTTAGAATCTCACCCCACAGACAGAGCACTGAAAAGGGATGACAGCGACCAAGTCATCTCAAGAGAGGACAGGACAGAGGCAGCGCTGACGCTCCTACAGTAAGGTAGGGGAGGTCTCTATCAAAGAACAAAGGTAGCAAGGAGGAAACAGATTAATCTTTCCATTCTCCTGAGACAAAACAGAAGGCAGTCATTACCACAGACAGGTTCAGATCAGCAATGGCAGGGTATAGGCCACTGCCTAGAATCCTACTGTTTATCACCAAAGAACTAACAGAAGGGACTTCTGCATCTACAGCTCAGCTGCTGACTATAAAATCTTGCACATTAGTAACACAGACTAGAAATGAATCACTGGCCCAGATCCACAATGCTTCAGGGCTGGATACAGCCACAGAAGTGACAGCGGGCAAGAGAAACGCAGTGGAACAGCTGCCAGACAATTGAATGACAACCACCACTGCTGATGACACATGGCCATGAGCAAACCTACATGTTTAAGGTAGGTACAGTATCTTTCAATAACTGAAACCATACGAGCCTAAGCGTTTACTGTGACAGGGCCACAAAAATGATCAGAGGACTGGAACACCTCCCCTGTGAAGACAGGCTGATAGAGTGGGGGTTGTTCAGCCTGGAGATGAGAAGGCTCTGAGAAGACCTCACTGCAGCCTTTCAGTACTTAAAGGGGGCCTATAAGAAAGATGGGGCCAATCTTTTTAGCAGGGCCTGTTGCCATAGGACAAGGGGTTATGGTTTTAAACTAAAATAGGACAGATTTAGACTACATATAAAGAAGAAATTTTTTAAAATTAGGGTGGTGAAACACTGTCCCAGGCTGCCCAGAGAGGTGGTAGAAGCCCATCCCTGGAGACATTCAAGGTCAGGTTGGATGGGGCTCTGAGCAACCTGATCCAGCTAAAGGTGTCCCTGCTCACTGCAGGGGGGTTGGACTAGAGGGCCTTTAAAGGTCCTTTCCAACCCAAACTACTCTATGATATAAATAGCCAAGTTTACAGCAGTATAAGACACCATACCTGACTGTGCTAAATTGAAGAAATCATGAAGAATACATTCAAAGTCTCCCTCATCAAATTTCCTCAAAAGTCTCTGTCCAAAAATTAAGTTCCGAAATAATCCTATTGCCAAACATTAATTTCAGAATTATTGTAACCAAGAAAACTTACCTCCATCCATGAATGGGAATAAAATCACTACAAAACACTTTAAAGATCAGTATTTTAGATAAGGAATGAGGCAGCAGCATTTTATTCTTAAGGTATAGGTTGGGAACTGAGCTGTTAGAGAGTAGTGTAGG